TGCCCCCGTACCATGCTGACACGAGAAAGGTGGGATGATACAAACCCCTGGCCTTGGGAGCAATCAGAGACAACAGGGAGGGCAACAGCTCCAGCGTTAGCCATGGACCTTGCTGCCAAAGCCTCCCAGCCAAGGGGCACCCCCAGGATCCTTGAATTTATTTTACAGGTTAAAATATTTTTTTTTTTCATACCTGGAGGACAAAATGGACTTTTTTTGGTACAAGCCCATTTTACAAAGGAGGCGTAGCTGACTATCAAGTCAAAGCAACCCACCAGTGCAGAACTCGTGTGGCACCAGAGCAAAATACAAGTAGTTTCGGGCAGATGCCGCACATCTCCTTTTTGCACAGTTACTGCAGCTGCAAAAACAAGGCTCAGGCACGTAACAAAGCCATTCTGTTCAGACGGGTGAAGAAATCCACCTATGTTTCCAGTGTTTTGAGGTCTCTCCTACCACACCATGAAGAAAAGTTTTGTTTGATTTCTGACAGGACACACGGGTCTTTGTATAGCATGAGGGATCGCATCCAGAATTCCCCATGTGTTTTTGTAATTTGAAATAAAACAAATAAACACAATTTTTATTCAGTAGACATGAGCATCTGGAAGATGACATCAACATGACTTCAACTTTAATGTCAAAGTGTTAGACTGAAATCCAATATCATTGAACAATTTGTGGTGGAGGTGCCAGAAACAAACATCACAGATTAAAACTGTGATGGAAACAAGGTTTCTGCAGCAGCTGAGGGAAGAAACAACGTTTTAGAGCTTTACTGAATGCCTGATGAACATTGTTGTCATTACAGTAGCAGTTTGAGCCTAAATTTGTGATACTAAATATCAAAATGAAGATCCCGGTCTCCCGAGATCTGGGTTTCCAGCCTTGCCCTGCTCTGCTTTCTCCATTTATTCTCCTGTCCCTCTTCATGGCGATCAAAACCACCTTTGCTGAAGCTCTTTGGAGGTGGGCAAAGAGAGGACAGCCTGGGCACGCTCGTCCTTCCCTCTGCCCGCGGGGAGCTGCCGACACCAGACAGCAACCCATCCCATCGAGGGAATGGGAATAATGAGTAAGGTCGCACTGGGACTGGAAATCCCACACAGGGAGAACGGGAAAGTGCCACCACCACCACACTAAGCCTCCGCATCTCGGAAGGAAACTCCTGAGAGGCAAGTGCTGGCTACGTCGGAAGAAGAGATGGGGAGAGAGGGAATGAAAGACCAAAACGTTTCCTCCTCATAACACTCTCAGCTCCCAGGCTTAATTATACAGGATCAACAATCCTAACCATAACTACTGGCAGCCTCTCTATGTGCAAGCATCCAGCCAACCTCAAAAATGTGGCTTTAGCACTCACACGATTTTCACAGGCAAAAAAATCTGTTTAATTAGATAGTTCGTAATTTATTCTGAAAGCAAAAATGAAGATATCTATATACTCTTAAAACAAGTCAAACCACTACCCTTTTTTTATTTAAACATCACTATTAGATTGTCCCAGTTTGAAGTTTCCTACTCCCAGTTGTAATGCTAATTAAACCTTTTGGGGAAGCTGTGTGCTCATTCTTATGCACTGCTATTAACTTTTTTTTTTATTGCAGATAGTTGGGATCCAACGCCATTCCACTAAATCCAGTCAGAAGGATTTTATTTTGATTTTGTCTGGCTTGTTTTATTCTTAGCAGATGGTGCAAACCCATGTGTTGATGAGTACATGCCACAGGAGAGCATCTGAATCGATACAGCCGGCCCCAAACTACAGCGGTGTCTCTGCTGAGGACTTCAGCGCCCGCCGCCACTCAGGACCACACTTCTCAGCGTGGTGTGTCAGCTCAGACGGGCTTTCAAAACTATACTACTTCTGGTACCTAAAATGGCTTTGAGAAGATACTTCAGGCATCTCTACAGCAGCGTAAGCATCCTCAAAGTTGGTGTTTTTCAAACTAATTATTACTGTGCTACATATGTAGCTGAAGTGGACTAAAGGTGACATGGTTTTGATAAATACAAATGACTGTATTTTTGCATATGCAAATCAACAAATAATTTGCATGAAATATGATTCAACAGCCATGCATGTTATGTGCATGTGCAGGTAACAACTTTCCCAGGGCATCTTTTTCTCCCTCCTTTTCTCCTTTTTCTCCCTCCTTTGTCTGTGAGACTCTCTGTGGCCTCCCTGTCTCTGATTCTGCTTGAAATATGTCCCCTGATAACCTAAAGAGAAGTACATATAAAGGGCTTAGAGCTATTTATAGCAAAGCCTGTGTGCCTGAAAACATTGCAGTTTTCATGTGCTGGGTACACGCATTGCTTATGAACTGCAGCCGGAAAACCGTTGCCTCCCTCTTTAGCGATTCCAGTCAGCATTCACAAGGCAAGATAGAGAGAGCCAAGGAAGGAAGCAGACATAAGGACAAAACGCAAACAAACTGAAAATTTACCAATCACTTATATTCAGAAACCAGGGAGGGGGTGGCGGTGGTTTACAAGATAGATTCATCTCTATCTGCATTTCAAACTGCTGGAAATGGGCATGCAAAGTGGATTAGCATGATCACACCAATATTCTTCAGTACGGGTTTTGTACAAGCCCCTGAGAACAAGCATAATCTCTCATAATTACTGCATATGCCGTTGTCACATTAAATAACAGCCTTGCCTCAAACTGTTTAAAAGTTTACTAACCTTCAATTCTTCCAACTGGGTATTGGGCGCAACTCAACAGACCCAGGAATACTGCAAGCAAAGTTCACGTTCGAATGCTGATCTGCAAATCCCACATGAACGTGTTTCATTGCTGCGCTTCATTTGAAGCGATTCACATTTCATTTACCTTACAGCAAGAGCAATGGCTTAAATTTTGTTCTTAATAGGGCAAAATCCCCATTCCTCTTATGCCTTCCTACAAGCAACCAACGCTCAGGTCAGTTTTAAGTCCTACTGGCCAGAAACATAATAGAAGATGACTCAAAACTCTGAGAAGACAGACTCAGATTCAACTCTGATTTCTGCTGCCCACAATTACATGGTTCAAGGTCTTGCTCAATGAGACCAGAAGAAAAACCAGGGAACGGTGAAAGGCAAAGATAATGTGTTCTGCTTTGCCTCCCTTCTGCCTTGGGTTTGAGCCACTGGACAGAGATTTTGAGAAGAGATACCAGGTCAGGCACAGCTGTGTGAGGCTGGCAGGCGGGGAACAAGGTATATTTTGCAGTTGTCAGCAAAGAACTGGCAACCAAAACCACAAAAAGAAGTTAAGATCAGCGTACACCAGAATAAAAAGGGAAAAGAAGAACCTTTTATTATAAATCCCAAAGCTATTTATTACTCATAGACAGTCACAGATGTGATATTTGTCCCCAGGTGAGACTCACTAAGCTTATAAATATGTTTTAATTAAAATCAGTTCCCTAAACTCTCAGCCTTTCCTATCATCATTCTATGAACAACAAAATCCAATGCTTCATAGAGGTCCTCGGACAACACACACACACTTAACACTTTTAAGAGCAGAAAAAGAGCTGACACCTGGGCTTTGCAGTCACACTCAGATACAAGCCATGCTATGAAGTAACCAAGCCACAGTAAACAAAGGAGCCTTTCCTGAACTTAAAACTTAAATAAGAGAACAGAAGCTACAAGAGCAACTTCACCCTTGTTCTGTAGTATCCCTCAGGAAAAAATGAAGAGGAAGATGAGCTGGTCATGAAAAAAGCAGGTTGCGCAGCCAGCTCATAAGAAGCCGAAAAATGTACTACTTTATTTTTAAAAACAAGTATTTTTAAATCAATATATTTAAACCAGCACATCTTTCTTTGAACCAGCTGGTGGGAGACACCAGCGGTGACAAGACATGGAATTAGCTGAAACTCAAGCCTGATTTACTCGGGCACTTCTCGTGCTCCATTACAACTTTTAAATCAAGTCGAGAAGCTTGTGTAACAGGAAGTTGGTATCCACTTATCCTTATCTCCTTTCTCCACTGGTTTGCCTTCAGAACACTTAGCCCCTAATTTATAGGGTAATATCAATAAACAAACAAATAGAATAACTGCCCCCTGAGGAGAAAGGGAAGACAAGGGTCAAAACCTCTCCTGCTTTCTAGACACTGGACAGACTATCTTGTAAATTTGAGTTTGGTCCAGAGGGAACCAGGCAAAACATTACTCGTGTTTCCATGCTGCTGGTTTGATAGTAGAAACATTTTTAACATGAAAACAACGTAAGTGGTTTTACCAATTAATTTGGGAATACAGACAAGGGGTAGGATTCATACTTAGTGCATAGCATCACTATATGCACTAAAACCTCCAGAAACGCCAGCAAACTTCTATTTCTAACTGACTCTCCAAATGACTTTCTCCTCGATATCCTCATGTGCGAGACAAACATCGGTGAAAGAGGAAACAAATAAAAAATGCCGCCAAAACACTGATGAAAAGAGGGGACTGAGGGAATATTTTTTTCTTTGCTACATACATGTTCCCTGGAGCATATCAAGTTGGAGTCTCAAAACAGGGAAACATACTGAGGACAGAATAGCAAAGCTGGCATGAAGCTGGCCAGTGGAAAGGTGACACAAGTCATACCAAATTCTCCCTTCTGTGGAGATCCGTACCAGATATCTCCATTAATAGGAAGTTATGGGAAAACCAGGTATAAATCAGCCAAAGTTTTTAGTACCACAGCCTGGATGCAATGCTAACGCACAGCACCGGGTTCTGGAATTTGCAGCCAAGCTGGAACATTAATACGGGGACTATTAATTTACCTGACCGTGTTGTCAGGCTCATTATGACGCTTAATTTCCAGCGTTAACTATTTTACCCGTAGCTGTCAGTGAACTCTTCTAAGATGGATGCATCAGGCCGTGCAACGCCCCAGCCAAAAGGTTGCAACTCCTCGGCAGGAGAGGTCAGCTGTACTTGTAATTTGCACAGGAAGCCTAACGGTGTGGCGTAAAGAGAACAGTAGCTGGGCCCTCCTTTTACCAAACCGCCGTCATCACAAAAGGACTTGCGAGGTCCCCTCGAAACCCCGACGAAACTTTGTCCCGGCAGAAGTAAAGGTGTTTTTCAGCCAGGCAGTAGGGCGAGCAGAGACCTGCCTGTACCGGGCCGTGGTGGGACAAGGGGCTGCCGGTCCCGGCCGGAGCAGAGGAGGTGGACCGGGGACCGAGGACCGGCCGCCGCGCCCGGGGCTGATGAACCGCGACCCGGGCGGCAGCGCGACCCGGGCGGCAGCGCCGCTCCCCGCCTCCCGCCCGCGACCCGCCGGAGCCTTCTCTCCCCGCTTATTTGTTTAAAGTGCTGATTAACGACGAGATCGAGAACGCCGTCGTATATACGTTTTACCGTTAAGAGCCGGTTACCGCTTTAATCTCGCAGCTACTCAGACACGGGGATAAACCCGGCGAGGATTAACCAGGTCAACTATAGACAGCCCGGGGAGCAGCTCAGGCGACGCTCCCGCAGAGCAACAAGGCGAGGGCGGCGGGGATCGCCCCCCCGGCGCGGGCCGGACCCCCGCCCCACCCGCGGGGGGGAGCCGTGCACGCCGGACCCCCTTCCCCGGACTCACCCAGCTTCTCCGCCCGCAGCCAGAGCGGGGCCGAGGCTCCCAGCAGCAGCGAGAGCAGCAACGAGGGGGCGACCCGCGCCCCCCCGGCGGGGCCCACGGCTCCGGCTCTCGGCGGGGCGGGCATGGCACAACTTCCCCACTTCCCTCCTGCTCCTTTCTCTCCTTCTCCTCCTCCTCCTCGCCGGGGCGGCTCCGGGACCAGCTCTCTCTCCGGCGGAGGGGGGCGGCCGCCCCCCGGCATCCCTCTCCCCCCGCAGGTGTTGGACGGAGGCGGAGAAGGGGCCGTGCGGGGCTGCCCCTGGCCCCCCGCCGGCGGCCGAGGCTGCAGCTCTGCCGCCTCCCCGGCCCGGGGCTGGGGGTGGAGAAAGGAAACGGGAGAAAGGGAAGCGCCACTATTCCCATTGGGCTGCAGCGCGGGGTGTCTCCTCCTCCTCTTCTTCCTCCTCCTCCTCCTCCTCCTCCTCCTCCCGCCGTGGGCCGAGGGGCCGGCTCCGCCCCGCCGCCCCCTCCCCTCCGCTCCCCCGGGTGCTGCTTCTCCCACCCACCGCTGCTCTGGGGATACCGGACCGGGGGAACGGGGGGCTCCCCCCCAGACCAGCGCAGCCCCGAGCATCGCCTGCGAGGCCCCATCCCTGTTACACATGTTGACACGCACGCGTGCGTACATAGGGATTTTGAAGCAAACGGGATTATTTGGCTAATTCCCAGGCGGCGCTCCGGGGGGAGCGGGGGGACCGGGGACACGAGTGGGCAAAGGGGAACTTCCAGCCCCTGCAGCAGAGCTGGGGTCGTGCGGGGGTTTCCCACTCCCGTAACCTGCTCCCCGGGTGGTATCTCCACGCAGGGCTGCGTTACGGCCGCAGATTAAACGGGCCCCAGCGGCTGGGCTTTTAAAAGTGTGCCAGGGAACTCCAAATCTGACCCTGTCCTGGCTTTTCGGGGATGGGTTGCTGCGAGGCGGGTAGATTCACACCGCCGGCAGGTCAGAAATGCTGTGCTGCTATGCACGTAATTAACCTGCGTGTCCTAGAGGCAACTGATAATTGTTAGATTTTATAGTATTTTAGAAAAAGTCAAGTTTAGTAAGCCTTTATTCTAATCGAGCTCTTGTTTTGTAAGTGTTAATGCCTGGGTTTTAACTTTTCAGACACCCTATGTGATCAGGCATATTTTTTTTACCGTGTACCCAGTACATTGTACTCATGGTATATATATTTAACACAGGTTTTTAGTATTTGAGACTCACCCCTTCTTTGCAAAGGAGAGTCTGAAATCTAGACTACAACATTAGACCTGGTGTAAAGCAGAACATTCGTTACTGCAGCAGTTTAGCGGTCAGACTAATCCTCGCCGGCCCTTGTCAGCATCCTTCTGGCTGAAGGAGGTTGTGGTGGGTCACTCGCTTCAGGACTCTGAAGGCTGAGAGACTTTTAAAGAGGACTATGTCCATGGGAATGAAAGTGGCCTGTTCCTGTATTTGTCTCACAGATCGTCAGGAACAAATCCACACGAATGAGGGTGATTATGGAGGGGAAGGGGCGAGAAACTCAAACTCTGCCACGGCCTCAAGACTGGACTTAAAAAGAACACAGAACTGGTGAAAATATTGTGGTTATAGAAAATAGCTTCTCCAATACCAAATACTGGTTCAAAACCTACAAATGAGACCTAACATAAACAAAAACATGAGGGAGCAAAATAAATAGGACAATATACATGTTGCAAAACATGTATCACCTTTGAAAGAGCTGCAGTTCTTGAAAAGCAACATAACAGCATAAGAGCATGCATTGTTTTGTATCAGTCTCAGTGGGCAATTAAAACCAGCCAGTCATACATGGGTTGGTACTGGGAACTGTCCTGATTTGCATTCCATCAACTGAGATCTAGAATATATTTTTAATAATAGGGCCAGGTTTTAGCTGTATTCGTTAAGGGTCATCACAAATATCGGCAGAAAAGTCCTGCAAGTCAATCCCAAGTAATCTACCGAGGCAGTGCTGCAATAAGCTGGGTCTGGCGATCTTGGGCAATTTAATGCTCAAAAACCTCTGCCGTGGTGCTTGCAGATAGTGTTGCTAGTGCTGAGCTCTCAAGAGAACTTGGGTGCTGGTAATTGGTACAGGCAAGTTAGCAGCCTTGGAAGGCCAAAATGGTTTTTTGCCTGTCACATACCTTTTGGAGACTCATGAAGATGAGGAAGGTGGGTTGGCAGACACTGGGAGAGGAAGCTTTCTCCTTTTCCTGGGCGTTGGAGGCTTAGCGATGCCCTGTGGGACAGATAGCTAGAGAATAATTCCCTTCACAGTTATTTTTATTCCAATGATTTGTAGTAAAATGATAAGTCATGCCCTTGAGACTGGGGCTGTAAAATATCTGGGAGTGGTGTTTGTTTTCCTTTCATGATTGGTGACGGAGTTTACTGTACAGGAGAGCACTGGTGGAAGGAAGGGCAAGCAGGCTGCCTTTTCAAACTTCTCACCACCCTGGGCTCAGCAGGAGCTGGTTGCTTGTCTGAGGCTACGCGTTTCCCATTGCAAACGTGTATAATGCTCGGATGGAAACTCGGCACCTCTTCCAGAAGGTGTTGGAAGCACAGCTTTCCTATTGACTTCAGTAGGATAATGAGTAACGCAATCAGTGCAGTAGCTTCTGTATTATTTATTTTGCTATTAAATTCACATTACTTTATCATGCCCTCTCCCTGTCAGTTTTCAACAGGCTGTAGGCAAGGAACTTACTGTCAGCTTCCAAGATTAAATAATCATTATGATGAATGAAGTAGTCTATAGCTCTCAAAGCTGTTATTCAAGGACTTGTGTAACCCCTGTCACATTGCTACATTGGTTCATGTGTACTTTTCCAAATTTCCCTTTGTAAGGAGGAGAATTAAAACCAGCTTTTAAATAAATACAGTTTTAAAGGCAAGGCTTTGAGTCAAGGCAAAAAGATTAATTCAGAAAGGAGGCGTACATAGAGCCTGACTAATAACTTGTGGGGATGTCACACAATGGGAGCTTCACAACATGAAAACTCCATGGCAGACCACTTCTGACAGCTTAATGTGGATGATTTTGGCCACTAACACTGACTTAATTTGGAAGAGACAGGATTCACCCAGGGACACAGACAGACTACTTTTCAGTATGAGCATGTGCTCTTCCTTTACAGTCAGATTTCCAAGCATACCAGTTAGGAGTATTTCGTGTGTTTAATGCAAATGGTACTAACTGAGTCACCTACAACTAGATAATGTATCTCATCTAGTATTCAGTAGATGGATAACTTTACTGTGCAGCCACCTGCAAATGAGAAATTATGTTTTTACTCTACAGATGTCTGGCCTCAGGATGAACAGCAAGACAGGACTTGAGGACAAAATCAGCTCAAAACACTTTAGAAGGCGGTTGGTCAGTATGGCAGGGACATACCCGCGTTTCATTTATAGACTTGTACAGTCTATAGCTTCATGGATTTACCTTCTTACCTATACTTGTTATATACTTGTATATAACATACACTGAAAGAGCGTCTTCTAAGCAGACCTGAAGCATCTAATGAGTCCTTGCATGCCTTGTGTGATGTTAAGCAGGTAGTTTGTCTGGGGCAAGGGGTAGAGGAGGAAGGAAAAATGCATTGAAGAGTTTACCTAAGCTTATCTTGCAAGCTTGACACTGTATACATACTTTCTTTCAAAAGATCCTTGTTTTGTACATGTTCTAGGGAAAAAAAAAAAAGCCAAACCCCTGATTTATACAAAGAGATTTAAGTTTCATCTTATTGGAGTAGCCTTGCTTTTGTGCAACTAACAGGAAAGTTCCTGTTCTTCCTAAGTTGTAAGCACTTTCTTTGCTGACTGTGTAGAAGAAGGAGGAGGAATCAGAAGGCACAGTGAGGTGGAGAGGACCTGAGTTCACCAACTACAAAGCGCAAGAACAATTCTAGACATCGAGAGGTATGTTAATCTTGTCATTTACCAGAATGATAGCTTGCACATTGAGAGGCCTTTTAACGGTCTTTATACGTGGGCTAGGTTTTGCATTTTCATTGGTCCAAAGCAAATACTATAATGGATTTACAGGGTAAAGCTGAGAACGAAATGGTTCGGTTGCTGATCTCTGTGTATTCAGGTACTGCATTCTGCCAGAAGTGTACGTGGTAGTTGTATAAAAAATCAGAAAATAAAACATATGAAGTAAAAGCCTGAGATGCACCTAGATTCAACATTCTGTGTGTGTAGAGTATTTAATGGACCTAGTATACTGTGCTGTGTTTGTATCATTGGAAGGCTAAGGCCATGCCCACAGAGCAGCAAAGACGTTTCAGGCTGCATAACACCACCCTCTATTAAGGTCTGCATACCATTAAACCAGCTGGAGATGGGCTGACCTCCAGGACTCCTCTGGGCTTCTGGATATTCACCCAACTACTGCTGCAAAAAAGGTCGTCTTCATTTATAGCAGACTGCAGGACTGGGCTCTCCTCGTCAGAGCCAGCCTGGGTTCTGGTGAGGCTCACGTTAGCAACCTCCATCCTTGCTTACTGTAAGCATCCCTCTCCAGGTGTGAAAATACACAGGAGTGAAGCAGTTAGTAAAAATAACGTTTTCAAGGAGTTCTGAGCAAGTAGGTAAGGGGATATCATGACTGCTTCATTACTTTAAGGGAAACATGAGGCAAAAAATCAGACAGAAAAAAAACTTCAGACAGAAGAAACAGTTTAACTTGCACTGGCACAGGTCGCTGCCCACACCCATGCAGATGAGCTGGAACCATATTATGGGCATTATGCAATTACACTGGTAGCAAAAATCGCCCGTGGGGAGAGACCATAAATATTCTTAGACCTTAGGAACGTGAAGGAAGAAATTGCAGGCAATAAATTTGGGTAATAATCTCTGGGAGCGAAAGCCAAACTGTAGCACGCTTCAAGACTTTTGTCTTTTATTTTCAGCAGCAGCGAACGATGGGTCTTGCCTGGGTGGGAGTGGTAGCAGGGCCCTTACCAGCACTGGTAGGGGTATGCCTGTGGGATAATTGGATGCTAAGAGGATACGCAGACTCATTCACTACAACAGCAGCAGTTGGGTGTAACTCTAATGAGAGCCATATAGGGGATGAATGTGCACTTTTCATCACTTTAATTACTGCAACCTATCCAATCATGTCACCTATTATGATGTAATTATGAGATCAAGCTGAAGACTAATCATTTGTCCCACTGCCACATATTTTGCAGTTTCTCACAGCTGCTTGGTAGTCTTAGGTCATAATTTTTCTTACTTCCAAGTGAAATGAAATAAAGTTGCTAATCATCCAGATTTTGAAGACAATCAACCAACCAGACGTGCCATGCTGCCGTCTTAAATTCTGTCAAGAAATATGGGGCAGAATGTTCCTTTCATTTAAACATATTGTTTTAGGGTTGCCTTGAAAAATATTATGATCTAGAGATTCACGACACTCTTTGTCAAAACAGAGCCTACTATTTTATAACTTACTAGTTGGCAGCATCCTTGATCAATTTGTCAGTGACAAAGCTCTCATTGTTTTTTATAGGTGTTCTAAAGAGTTTTCCTGTTTCTGTAAGGTATTAACCCTCATGCATTTAGAAAATAACAACTTTTTCCCCTTAATACATAGGTAGTAGGTAATTTTTAACTGTAATTTTTTTTTTTTTTGAGGGGGAGTTCACAGCTGAATTTGCGTAGTCTGCTTTTTTTCCATGAGAAACAAGTAGTCTTAATCATTTACTCATGTTTATGAGACTGCATCCAAGTAGGAGCTAAGAAACTACTTGTGCAAAATATGAAGCAATCCTGTGGTCACTTCCAGGAATAACCAATTATGTTTGAATCACATGCCTTTTCAATAAAGGCAGCAATTGGTCTAGTTATGTTCTTCCAAAAAAAGTGTGGAGTAATGGAAGGTGAATGTGAGTAAGCAGAGTTTACCCATTTCTAATATAGCGAGTGTGGCACTTATTCTTGTGTATACTGGAGACAGCCGTTTATGTACTGTTTTGTTAATCATTATACCCCTGGCTATATGAGTAAGAGCTTAGAGAGCTGAAAGCAAATACAAGTATGAGCTGAGTGACTGCCTGCTTTAACAGAAATCATCCAATTTACACCAGATCTAGCCCTTCTTCCTAATTTCAAGTGTTTATGCCACATTGCAGTTTTCTTGCAGGATGCAAGATGAACTCGGGCAGAAAGCCTCAGGGCTTGAAAAGCAAGTCCAGAGATGGCCTTCTTTCCCTTCATTTGATTTCTTTGGAGAGAGAGGGATTGGAATCATGCTTATTAATTTAGTAATCAGTGATGTGAGGGACTGTGCTCCCTCCGCCCTCCCCACGCTCACTTCGGGCCCTATGGAAGTCTGCACTCCTCAGGGCTTCACAGAAGTAAGCCAGTTATGCATAGTGGAAGCATGGCTCATAAATCTGCAATAATCATTATGTACGGAGAAAAAGCTTCTTGTGCAACTTTTCCACATAGCATTGCGGCATTACACCAACGAATTACAAGGTCAAATTCTTGTAATTCATAACTGTCACAGCTGTGGCTTACAACTGTATATATAGTTTAAGGGTTCACTGTTAATTGCTTTTAAGGCCAGGCATTTGATTAGTAAAAAACTGATCAAATGTCATCTGTGTTTGTAAAGACCCTTGTGCCTTTTTAAAAATAATTTCAAAAAAATACGGGCTTGAGTTTGAATATTTTCTCATATTTTAATTACAGTATTCATTGTATTATTGTGCCTGTTTATGAAATAAAATATTTAGAGCCTACCTTAGGTTCCTTGTCAAAGATAATTGGATAACAAAAAGTAAACATAGCAGGTTGGTGAATATTCAAATCAGTTTTATTCATCACTCATGCTTGGAGTTTGTGTGGCTGGGTTTTGGTAGCAGGGAAGGGGGCTGCAGGGAGAAGCTTCTAGAAGCTTCTAGAAGCTTCCCCAGCTCCAAGTTGGACCCGCCTCTGGCCACGGCTGAGCCAATCAGCGGCAGGGCTAACGCCTCTGGGATGACGTATTTAACAGGGGAAACCTGCAGCAGGGGAGGAGATTGGAATGTGAGAGAAGGCCCTGTGCAGACAGTAAGGTCAGTGAGGGAAGAGGGGATGTCCCCACAGCCTGTGGTGAGGTGGCAGGCTGTCCCCCCTAGTCCATGGAGGGGAGCAGATGCCCACCTGCAGCCCGGGGAGAGAGGAGCCCATGCCGGAGCAGGGGGATGGATGCCCCCCAAGATGGCTGCCGCTCCATGGGGAAGCCCATGTAGAGCAGGCTGTGCCTGAAGGACTGCAGCCTGCGGGAAGGGCTCATGTTGGAGAAGTTTGTGAAGGACTGTCTCCCGTGGGAGGGACCCCATGATGGAGCAGAGGAAGAGTAAGGAGTCCTCCCCTTGAGGAGGAAGGAGCAGCAGAGACAAGGTGTGAGGAACTGACCCCAACCCACGTTCCCCGTCCCCCTGCAAATTGGGAGTGGAGTTGAGCCTGGGAAGGAAGGAGGGGTTGGGGGAAGGTGTTCTAAAGTTTGGTTTTACTTCTCATTGTCCTTGTTTTGATTTGATTTGTAGTAAATTAAATTGATTTTGTTTCTCCTCCAAGTTGAGCCTGTCTTTTGCCCATGACCAAAGGTGGTGAGTGATCCCTCCCTGTCCTTTTCTCAACCCACGAGCTTTTCTTCATATTTTCCCCTCAACCCACCAGGGCTGGCAGGGAGGAGTGAGTGAGCTTTGTGGTGCTTTGTTACTGGCTGGGCTTAAACCCCGACACCTCATAACATAACAAATGATAAATAATTGAGAATTTTTACTGCTTAAGGTTAGGTTTGTGTGGACAGTATGATTTCTCAAATATTCCTTCCCAAAGTAAGAAATTTTGGCATCCTTCTGTCTGCTTCTTTTCATTAAAGATACTGTATTCTTAGCTATGGTTGTTCTTGGCCCCAGGGTTCACACACAGTCCTAAAGGCCTCTTTCAAAATGTGATATATGTAGTTGAGACCTAGTTAGGTCTGCCCCCTCTACTTAAATTCAGCCTGCATTTTAATTGTTTGTCTTATATCCAGTACAGCATTTGTCCACCGAAATCGGATGTGATTTACCCTCCTTCCCTTGAGCATGATGGTATTTTAGGTGCAGGGTGGCAGAGCCGGGCTGACTGCCTATGTGGATTCAGCCCAGGAATTCACCTCCCACGGGCTGCTCACCTGCTGACAGCAGACTCTGGGGCCAGGGCCAGGCTTTCACTGGGCGAGCAGCTCTGCTGCCTAATCTTCATTTCTAGCTCTTGCTGCCTGGGCTTGCCGAGTTCCCACTCTAAAGGCTCTGTAGTAGATGTGTTTTCTTACCTGTTTTGTACACATTTGTCCACAGCGGCTGAAAAGCTTTGAGTGAACCCTTTGTGGCTTCATCTGAAGACATTCCTCCAGTGGATGAACAGCGCTGAGCATCTAGGAACAAGAGAACCTTCAGCTGGCATGACCAACCCTGGCAGAGAGTATCTGTGTGTGGCTAAAACCTCTGCAACTATCCCCACTACCCAGCCTCATGTGCCCAGAGAAACAGGCAGCTTCACAGAGGAGATGCCATGGGGCGGCTCAGCTTAGCGCGGCACAAAAGGATGCAGGATGCGTGCCCGGAATCCCAGATGGTGAGCACGGTGGTGGTACAGTCAGCCACAGCTAAGGCTGTGCTGGTGGCTGCTCAAACCAGGGCAAAACTAACCCTGGTAATAATTACCTGGTATAATCCTGCAGCGGAAATGTATAGTCCTTCTCTGTAGAGAGGACCTGAGTCCCTGCAACTTCTGACTTTCTCACGTAGCACCCTGCTCATCCAGGAATTATGAGGACTCAGCACCTTTTCAGGGGTTGCCATAATCTTTTGGGCTCAGACCTCTGCTGTCTATGTTTGAATACTGTATCATTTATGTATTTTTAGGTATTTGACCCACTGTTTCAAAAAAGATGAGCATGCTGTATTAATCAATCATCAGGATTCATGTTAGCACTGTTGAACTGTTTTCTGACTGACTTTGTAGTTTTACTTGGAAAAGAGAGATCAAATGGATTTTTATTCATTCTCATGGCATTATCTAATCCCTCTCCCACACTCCTGTCAATATGCCCTCCTTACTAGAGGTCTGGAGAGGCAAAACCTACCCTCTAAATGGGCAGGAGCAGGAAGCCCAGCTTCCTCTTGCTTACAAACCACTGTTGGAGCACATGTAGGTTGTCCCGCGTTGCTTTCCCCTGGTTGCAGAGGCTGGCTTTGGTGGACCATGAACCTTCACTTACTTCCTCTCATCTTAAACGCAGTATTTTTTCTTGATGTTCCTCTCCCTATGGTAGCGTCCCAGGGATTTCGTTGTTGTTTTGATCTGTGGAATTACATTAATGCAATAAACTAGCAAACACTGAAGCAAAAGAAACCAAACCAGCATGACAGAGATACCACAGTCAGAAAATAGTGATAACATTTGCAGACAGGCGTTCTGCCAAGTGAAGGCTAACTTGTTGCTA